CCCCCCGTTAATAATTAATTTTATTAAAAGATAAGTATACATAAACAAGATTGCTGTTTAAACATTAATACAAACTGTAAGTGCAGATACATTGATATCGCAATGCCGTCTATTAACTTGTCAGCAGGATCTTCCTACGACCATATCCTTGTCACTTTCTTGTGATTTTACAGAAAACGATGTATTACCAGCAAATACTGGCTATGCAGAATGGATACATCTATTGAGAATTTTTTATGGTCTGAGCACTCTCATAAAATACTATTGAGGTCTTTCTAAAATATATCTGGATTTATTATACGTTATTACTTTAGTAATATTTTATTTATTTATTTATTTATTTATTCTGGGATTTATATCCCGCCCTACCTGTACGGCTCAGGGCGGCAAACAAGCGGCAACGCCGAAAGTAATAGTAGAATGATTGGAAAATCACAAGAAAGTGACAAGGATACGGTCACAGGAAGACCCTGCTGACAAGTCAATAGACGGCATTGTGATAGATGTATCTGCGCTTACAGTTTGTATAAATGTTTAAACAGCAATCTTGTTTATGTATACTTGACTTATCTTTTAATAAAATTAATTATTTTTTTAAAAAAGATTTGCGTCCAGCAGCACCTTAGAGACCAACAAGATTTTTGGGATACGAGCTTTCGAGAGTCAAAACTCCGTTTGTCAGAGGCAGAGGAAGGCAGAGAAGAAGAAGAAGAGATTGGATTTATACCCCGCCCTTCAGTACCCAAAGGTGTCTCAGAGCGGCTTACAAACTCCTTTCCCTTCCCCTCCCCACAACAGACACTCTGTGAGGTAGGTGGGGCTGAGAGAGCTCTTGACAGAAACTGCTCTTTTTTCAAGGACAGCTCTTATCAGAACTACGGCTTGCCCAAGGTCATCCAGCCAGGTGCAAGTGGAGGAGTGGGGAATCAAACCCGGTTCTCCCAGATTAGAGTCCGCACACTTAACCACTACACCACTGAAGAAACCAGGAGCTGAAGCACACAGCGATGCGGACGCTGATTTTGTCGGCTCTTCAGCAGAGCAGCCCGTCTGAGGTCCGGTGGCCTTTGCCTTCCCAAAGGAAGAGATCGGCCAAGGTGGAGCCAAAAGTCAGGGGCTGCCAAATGGTGCTGCTACAGTGTCACAGCACGCACGGTTCAAACAGCCCGGAGGCCGAGAGACGGCAAGAGAACTGCACCCTTACCGATGCCATGGAAGATCCTGGCCACGGCCCTGCCGGAGAACTTCTCATCTTGGCGGATAGACAGGAAGTGGCGGATGTCAGCTCGGATCTGCTCCTCCCAATCCCGTAGCTGCAATTAGGAAGAAGAGTCCGGTGTGAAAGAGTTATGTGCACATGCAATGCAGAGCTGTTCAAGGCGAGCAATGGCTGGCTTTTCCACCTGAGTACAACTGGTACTGCAACCTTCTGGATGAAATCTGCACCGATGGCAGTGAGCTGTTTCTTTCTGACTTCTAGCTGAGCCAGTCTGATCCTTTGCTCACCCTCCACTCAGTATCAGTGCCTGCCTCTAATCTTACTTTGCAGGCATGGAAAAGAAGGAGGAGGAGGAGGAGGAGGAGAAAAGATTGGATTTATACCCCACCCTTCACTCGGAGTCTCAGAGCGGCTTACAAACTCCTTTCCCTTCCCCACCCCACAACGGACACCCTGTGAGGTAGGTGGGGCTGAGAGAGCTCTTTCCAGGACTGTCCTTGAGAGAACAGCTGTGCCAGAACTATGGCTTGCCCCAGGTCACCCAGCCAGGTGCGAGTGGAGGAGTGGGGAATCAAACCCGGTTCTTCCAGATTAGAGTCCGCACAATTAACAGCAACACTACACTGGCTCTCTGTATGAACCTTCACCATATGAGGCTTCCTTATATCGGTTGATCCATCTTTGCCTAGGACTGTCTACTCTGACTGGGTAGCTCTCCAAAATATCAGGCAGGAATCTTTCTTAGCTATCCAAGATCCCTTTTAAACAGGAGACACCAGCGACTGAACACAGGAGATTCTGCATGCGAAGGATCTATTTTGCCATTGAGCTATGTCCCGTCTCCTCAAACAAGCAGAGAACAAGATCAAGGTTAGAACCCAAGTCCCCCACACCCCTGAGCAATTCCCTAATGAAACCGATATGGCAACACACAATTTACATAAATACATGTGCAAGAATGTCTGCCATGCACCCTTCCTGAGCCAGTTTGGTGCAGTGGTTAAGTGTGCGGACTCTAATCTGGGAGAACCGGGTTTGATTCCCCACTCCTCCACTCGCAGTTGCTGGATGACCTTGGGCAAGCCATAGTTCTCTCAGAGCTGTTGTCTCAAGGACAGTCCTTGAAAGAGCTCTCTCAGCCCCACCTATGAGTCACAGGCTGTCTGTTGTGGGGAGGGGAAGGGAAAAGAGCTTGCGAGTGAAGGGCGGGGTATAAATCCAACCTCTTCGTCCTCTCAGGGTAAAAGGTAAAGGTTCCCTTGCTCGAAAGCCAGTCGAATCCGACTCTAGGGTTGCGGTGCTCATCTCCGTTTCAAAGCCGAAGAGCCAGCGCTGTCCGTGGTCATGTGGCCGGCATGACTAAACACCGAGGCGCACGGAACGCTGTTCCCTTCCCACCGAAGTGGTACCTATTTATCTACTTGCAATTTCTTGCTTTCGAACTGCTAGGTTGGCAGGAGCTGGAACTAGAGATGGGAGCTCACTCCATCATGCGGCACCCGGGTCTCGAACTGCTGAACTACTGACCTTCCACAGCCTGCAGTTCAGCGTCTTAACCACTTCAGCCACCGCAGATCAAGCTCAAAAAGGTTATGAAAAATTCTATAAAGTCTCAAGTAACTTTCTGCGGTGCAGTACTCAGAGTCTCAGCTCTGGAAGATCAGCAAGGTCGACCATGGTTAGTCCTTGGGTGGGAGACCACCACAGAAATCCGGGGTTGCTATGCAGTGGCAAACCACCTCTGCTTGCCTCTTGCCTTGAAAAGGCTACGGGATCGCCATAAGTCACCTCCAAATTCACAGCAGTTTCCACCACCAAACGATGTCGGGCTGGGGCATGGAAAGCTACTGTAAAGCCAAGCCCTTAGCCCGAGTACGATGGGTTTCCAGAAGACCTGCCAGTTTGACTCCATCCTGTGAAGCCAGAGAAGGAGTAAAGACGGGATCTTACTCACTTTAATGTCCTGGAGGCTCTCGACGCCCTGCTTGTCGTCCTGGAGCACAGGGTCCGCCTCTTCTGGCATCATCGCCTTCTCGAAATAATCCATCAGCAGGGCCTTCAGTCGGGAGCTCCTCTCCTCATCCCCACAGTCACAGCACAAGGCGCTGGACCGGAAAGCCACGCTGCCCCAAAACACAAAAGGCGTGAGAGGTGGGGATAGGTGAGGCTCCCCAACCTTTTAAAGCCTGCGGGGGCACCTTCGGAACACTGTGTGCAGTTCTGGTCAGTTCTAGTCACACCTTAAAAAGGATATTATAGCTTTGGAAAAAGTGCAGGAAAGGGCAACTCGAATGATAAAAGGGTTGGAACACTTTCCCTATGAGGAAAGGTTAAGGCGCTTGGGGCTCTTTAGTTTGGAGAAACGACGACTCAGGGGTGACATGATCGAGGTTTATAAGATCATGCATGGGATAGAGCAGGATGAGAAAGAGGTACTTTTCTCCCTCTCTCACAATACAAGAACTCGTGGGCACTCCATGAAATGGCTGAGTGGTCGGGTTAGAACGGATAAAAGGAAGTCCTTCTTCACCCAAAGAGTGATTAACACATGGAATTCACTGCTACAGGAAGTGGTGGCAGCTACAAGCATGGACGGCTTCAAAAGGGAATTAGATAAGCATATGGAGCAGAGGTCCATCAGTGGCTATTAGCCACAAGGTATAGATAGGGACTCTGGGGCAAGTGATGCTCTGTCTTCTTGGTGCTTGTGGGGGCAACAGTGGGGGGGCTCCTAGTGTCCTGGCCCCACTGCTGGACCTCCTGATGGCCCCTGGTATTTCTGGCCACTGTGTGACAGAGTGTTGGGCTGGATGGGCCATTGGCCTGATCCAACATTGGCTTCTCTTAGGTTCTTATGTTCGGAATTCTGACACACAAAATGGCTGCACGGTTTTGCCTTCAGTCAGGCAGTGGAGATCCTTCTGCTGGGGTGGCAGCTACCGACAGAGCAGTCAATCACATCTCCAGGGGCCAACCAGAAGCCTGGCTCGGCAAAAGACCAACCCAGCCTGGCATCTCACGGACCAAAGAAAATTAGTAAAGAGGAAGGCCCGCAAAGGCTATTGCCAAACACTCACACGTTCCCCCTCCCCAAGTGGTTTTCAGGCTCCGTTGGCAGCCACTCACCTCTGGAAGGCTTGGAAGCAAAGCTGGAGCTGGCGGAGAGCAGCCTTTTCACGGCCCACAACTCGGCCGTGCAGGACGTCACATACGGAGTCCAGTTCCTGATCGGAGAGGTCGCCATAGGAGCGCAGGTAGAAGGAGAGCTCACTGAACTCCACCAGGACCCTGCTCTTACCAGGCGCATAGGAACCTGTGCCGGGGCAGAGGGGAAGAAGAGAATCTTTCTCACAAGACGAGAACTCCTGGGCACTCCATGAAATTGCTGAGCAGTCAGGTTAGAACGGATAAAAGGAATTACTTCTTCACCCAAAGAGTGATTAACGCACGGAATTCACTGCCATAGGAGGTGGCGGCAGCTACAGGCATGGACGGCTTCAAAAGGGAACTGGATAAGCATATGGAGCAGAGGTCCATTGGTGGCTATTAGTCACAAGGTATAGATAGGAACTCTCAGTCTGGGGCAGGTGATGCTGTGTATTCTTGGTGCTTGGTGGGGGGGGGCAACCGTGGGAGGGCTCCTAATGTCCTGGGCCCACTGCTGGACCTCCTGATGGCACCTGGTATTTTTGACCACTGTGTGACAGAGTGTTGGACTGGATGGGCCGTTGGCCTGATCCAACATTGGCTTCTCTTATGTTCTTATGAATTGGATAAACATATGGAGCAGAGGTCCATCAGTGGCTATTAGCCACAAGGTATAGCTAGGAACTCTCAGTCTGGGGCAAGGGATGCTCTGTATTCTCGGTGCTTGGGGGGGCAGGCAACAGTGGGAGGGCTTCTAGTGTCCTGGCCCCACCGCTGGACCTCCTGAGGGCACCTGGTATTTTTGGCCACTGTGTGACACAGTGTGTTGGACTGGATGGGCCATTGGCCTGATCCAACATTGGCTTCTCTTATGTTCTTAATTTTGGTGTGTGTGTGGTAAAGCCTTGTGATCCCTGGGCCCAGCTGTATCCAGCTGCTGCTTTTGAACCACAGACACCTGGGCGTGATTTAAATGTAATGCTGGATGAGGCAAAAGAATTCACCCACATCACCTACTGCCCGGTCCTTTCCACTGGAGATGCCAGGGATTGAACCTGGGACCTTCTGCATGCCAAGCAGACGCTCTGCCACTGACCCGCAACCCCTCCCCGTTCCCACAGTGTCTTGTTGAAACTGGTCTGTCCCTTGTACAAAGCAGCTGCGTGGGCTACTCAAGCAGTTCAGCAGACCCCCAGAGACCTGGCTTCCCTGCCCCCATCCTGATCCACACTTGAGTGGCAGCTCGGGCACACGTGACATCCCACCCTCAAAAGCTCTTCTCTCCGCCAGTCGTAAGAACATAAGAACATAGTCCCTCATCCAGCACCCAGAATACAGAGCATCACTGCCCCAGACAGAGTGTTCCATCTGTACCTTTTGGCCAGTGTTCCCTTGTGGCTCATAGCTACTGATGGACCTCTGTTCCATACGTTTATCCAATCCCCTCTTGAAGCTGTCTATGCTTGTAGCTGCCACTACTTCCTGTGGCACTGAATGCCACGTATTAATTACCTAGTTCTTGCCTAATAAAAATAGTTATGCTTTACTTTAAATAAAATCATAAGTTCTCTGTTTACTCTGCTGCCAAAGATCCGCTATCAACCCCATAGTATTTAACTGTGCCGCAGGAGGGTAGCTGTGTTGGCTTGCAGCAGATTAGCTAGATCTGAGTCCAGTACCATCTTAGAGACGAACAAGATTTTTGTGGTATAAGCTTCTGAGAGTCAGTGCTCGAAAGTTTATACTCCCCAAATCTTGTTGGTTCCTAAGTCTCTTCTCAGAGAGTTTGTTTTAAACAGATCTAATGGGGAGGGGGGGTTTGCTACTGTCCTAAGCTAATGGAAAAAAACCTCTTCTAGAGCTGAGCTCAGCACTAGACTGAGTACAAATCAGATGATTCATCACACCAGGATCCCAGTCCTGATCAGTGTTCCCTCTAAGTCCTCCTAGCGTGGGCCCCCCTTCAGTTACCGTTCTGTAGCGGCGTGTTCCACTGCAGCTGGCGGAGAGCGCGTTTCACAGGCAGGACCTCCCAGCCCATGGAGTCAGCCAGCTCAACGACGTCAAACTCCACGGAACTGGCGTGAGTGAGATCGATCCCTTCGAGGTGCTGCTGGGCCAGGCAGACTGCCAGAGGGGGGCACCTGGGGTGAGGCAGAAATGGGAGGTCTTAGCTGGACAACTCCAGTCAGGGGGGGGAGAGAAAAGGAATCCTCCCCAGTAGAAAGCATTGGTCCTGATGGGTGCAGAAAAAAGCTGGATGACCCATGAGCAAGATACAGAGAAGTCATCTCAGGAATGTGCAGAACTGCCAGTATTCAGTGGGTGACCACTCAGTGGTTTGCATGTTATCCCTTCCCCACGGTTACCCCAGAAAACCCCCAGGTGTATGAAACATGCTTCAAACACACCTAAACCTGATAGCAACGTCTGGGTTATCTTAGATTTTTTTAAAGCACAGAATGCCACACCACCCTTGAGAGAAACACCTGCATTAACAGTGGGGGACTGGAGTATTTGGCCTCCCCACTGGCTCCCAGCCCCCTTTCTGCCCAGTCCATCTGCCCTCAATGTCTCCTGCTTTGTATTTGCCATTGGAACCACGCAAGAGATCCTTCCTCTCCTTTACCTTTGGGCTACTGCCCGCAGCTCTTGAGGGCCACCATAGCACACCAGCTGGCACACGGAGAAGGTGGGGTGCAGCAGTTCCACCCAGTGCCAAGGGTGCAATTCCAGGTAACACAGAAGCGTCTCTATGCCTGAATGAGGAAAGAAACCGTGCTCAGTGCAGGGCAGAGATGTTTGCTGCTGCGCATCTTCTGCAGCCATCCCCAGCTCCATAGAAATCAGGCCAAAGAAATCTTTGTGTCTTTTGTTTACAATGGAACCAGAGCCAGCATCTCTGTAGCTGGGAACAGAAAAGCAAGCTGGCAATGCCTGGACCTTTACAGCCAGAGATGCCAAGGATTGAACCTGCGGCCTTCCGCAGACCAAGCAGATGCTCCACCACTGAGCTGCAAAACTGTGAGCTAGCTCACACTAACTCAGCTTAGAGGGAACACTGCTCTGTATGTGTGTGATGCACTCAACATGACGCTCCTTTACACACAATCCTACAAGTAATGCTCTTCCCCTGACCTGGATGGCTCAGCCATGGCCAGTCTCATCAGATCTTGGAAAACAAATGTTAAAGTAACAAAATTGGTTGCCTTTAAAGAGAATATCAAGTGGGTCTGAGATGTCCGGGGCTCTCACAGTGCGGGGAATGTGGGTGGCTCTCTCGTGTTCATGCATGTTCCACCTCATATGATGCAGCATGAGCCTGCAGCCTCCTCCTCATCCCCCCCCCCCCCCCCACAATGGGCCTCCACCCCCCCCCCCACCCCCCCCCCCCCGATTTATTCTTCTGCTATGATTTAGGGCTCTTTCCCCTACTTCTGGCAAGGAAGAAGTTAATGGGGCAAGGCAGACCAGAAAGCTGTGTAGGAAGAATGGTGCAGAGATATTCTCAGAGAGCCAGTCTGGTGTATTGGTTAGAAGCGTATCCCGGCCCTTGTACCTTTCCTGCCCTACAATGTCTTATCCCACCCCTATAATGTGTTAAAACCTAATTTATATTTTAAAAAAAGATCTTGGAAGCAAAGCAGGGTCGGCCCTGGCTAGTGCTTGGATGGGAGACCACCAAGAAAGTCCCGGGTTGCTATGCAGAGGCAGGTCATGGCCCCCCCCCCCAAGAACTTAACAGCAGCCATGTTGGATCAGGCCAGCGGCCCATCCACTCCAA